CGGCGGCCAGAACTTCCCCACCTGGACAGGGCGTTGGTCCATAGGAATCGCACAGCCCTGGTAATCTTTATATTTAAACCGCATTAAAGATAGTCCTTTTTTTTCATACATATATACCATTCCTGTACACAACTAACCAACAGAGAAAATACACAAATGTGAATGAAAGGATATGAAACTTAAACAAGTCATACACAGGCCAATCATGGAATATGATAATAACACCAATAGTCTCACTTGTTTTGATCTGTTTAGGTTATTAAAGTGCAACTCTAGGATAAAATAAACACCCTCCAATGACCCAAATTCAGGGTGTAACATGGTCACATCAGGACCCCACCTCCTTACCTGAATTGCAGGGTTCTTCTCCCCACAGCCTGCTGCTGTATTTTAGATTCGACACAGCTGTGTGCGGCTCCGCCCCCACACAGCAGCAGATCCTTCGACAGGATCTGTAAATGGAGAAACTACAAGTCCCATCAGCCGCCACGGCATCACTGCACTTGTAGTCTATTCATTCTTCCTCCTGTCCATATTGCGATTGTCCATACCTCGGTACATACATTCCGCAAGATGGACAGGAGGAAGAATCTGCAGGAGGCAAAGCATTGCAGCCGTGATCTACCGATTGAGGTTGCAATGCTTTACCAGCTCAAATGCAAAAATAAATAAATGCACATTTGGTCTTTTATAAAGAATTGTGTATTTATTATTTTTTTTCTCAAATGGTGGACTTTCCCGTAATAAACAGATTGCAGAGACAAATGCCAAAAGGTCAGATTTCCCAGGACATATGATAACTGTACCTTTAATTTGATTGAATATTTATTAAGCCTCGTTTTGATCCCCTCACTGTCATAGTTAATATCACCAATTGCTTACAAATTCCTTACCATTCGGATATATGGATTCTCTCCCAGGCATGTCTGACAAAGAATTGGGAAGTCCTAAAAAAAAACAAACAAGAAATTGATTATAGATTAATGTACATGAAACCTAAGAACATAAATGTAATGGATTGCAGCTAAGCACCGCTTATAGCTAGTTCACACCAGCCACAGTGCAATCCAGCCCTATTCTTGCCGGAACGCACATTGCAGCCGGCTAACTTTGTTGTGGGGCGGGAGGGGGCGTGGCAGTGCATTCAAGTGAATGGCACAGCAGCCACTCCCTCTGGCTTCAAAGTAATGCGTGGCACATCAATGCCTGCGGTCCGGTCAGAAAAAATGCTGCAAGCACTATTTTTTCTGACCGGAACGAAGGTATTGATGTGCCACGCGTTTCTGTGCGGCTGATTGCATTGCGGCCGGAGGGCTTGGCTGTGGTGCCATTCACTTCAATGCATCGTCACCGCCCCCACAAAAAAAGTGAGCCGGCCACAATGCGATCCAGTGCGTTCGTGCCAGAACGCACCGTGGCTGGTGTGAACTAGCCCTTGGAGCTAGTGGCTGCATTGTTTCATTTTTATCACATGGTGATCCTGCCAATAACACACTTCCTGTCCTAGGGGTGACAATGCTCACTCACTACACCTATTGAGCAGTGTTGTGACCCTGGGACAACACTGTCAATTTCCATAACCTGGGAGGTGTTTTGTAGCCCACAGTTAAAGCTAGGGACAATGCTAGTTAAGTTATCTGACATCTCATATCGTCGAGCAAGCATTTCACTTTAATGAGATGAGTAAAAAAACAATATGGTTGCCTTATGGCAATCGTGTATTTGGTAACAATTAAATCTGTTTGGTTCTTGAGGACCCCAAGACTATATCACAGGCACATAAAGCACACAGAGACACTGCATGTTCCTTTACTAGTAGCATATACCAAAATGTAAACCTCGACTGCGTAGCACCTTACATATCACTTTCCTCGGTTCACTGTAACATTTAAACTGCAGTATAAATGATCGTTGATGAACACTGCCCACAATACACACACACAGATGGGCTGGGGCCTACAACTCAGGCTTCACCTGGCCCAGCGCACAGTGCTCACTAACTACTATCGAAAACCCCAGAACGTAGTTCATCTTGACAGATCACCCTCCGTTCAAATAAACCCTTCGTCTTACCGCGTCCTCCCAGTTCTGCCGGTTGTAAGTGTTTGAGCCAAGGGACGTAGCCATCTTACACAGATTCCCCCGGTTAGCGCCCTGCCCGTGTCATGCGCATGCGCCGAGTGCCGCTATCCACGTACGTACAGCCGCTGTGGCGCTCGAAAACGCCGTTCTACGTTGTATAGGGAGTATTCACAGCGCCATCGTGCGGCACTAGGTATTACTTCTACCTGTTATACACTATCTCTTTATTGTGGCCACTGATGGGATAATCTTGAATTTCAATTATTTATTCTTGGATTTTTTAGTCTTTAGATGTGTTAACCATCCTAAAACCTACCAATTTTATAATAAAATGTATCTTTTTCTGTAGATTTTGAGGTTTTGTGATCTATGGTCTCTGTTTTTTTTTAAAGAGACAATCTTCCTAGTCCATTAAATTCAACAACAAAAATCCAATAAAATAATATGCTCATCTGTCCTATGCCAATCTGTCCTCATGGAGGGTGGGCACATGTTTGCATTGGGTGATTAAAAGGGAACTATGGCCCAACCTTTTTGGCCATAGTTCTGTTTTGGGTCACAGAAGGACATATACCAATGTCCTTCTGGGACTCAAAACTCAGCATATAGCAGGCTATTGCGGTCTATATGCTGACAGTGCAGAGCCACGCTGCAGCAGGGTAAGATCCTGACAATATTGTTGGGATCCACCCTGCAACCTGATTGACAGCTGGCTCTGCCCCAGAGCCAGCTGTGCCCTCCCCCTTCCTGTCCGTTCCTCCAATGAGTGCTGAAGAAATGGAGAGAGGAGGGGGGAATCTCTGTCAGTCAACGCTCTCTGCAGGAAAAAGATCAAAAACTGAGAGATCACCGGTATGTGATCGCTTAATTCTTGAGCTATAGAGCTGTCATGTGACACCTACTTGGTCATATGTCGGCTCTAATTATGGGGGTAAGTGCATTTTAGTCCCCCCATAATTCTGCTCTAAGGACCTTCCCCTGATACAGCTCTGTGATTCCTCTCAGTGGCCCCTTCGTCCCTCTTGGACACATTAGTGATGTAGGAATGGCAGAACAAGCCACAGAGCGCAGTGGGGGGACCAAGTACCCAACACACCCAGAAGTGTGGGTCGGTGTCTGAAACAGATTCACGTAAAGTGGTGGCGACACTGAGCCCGGAGTGTCCATACCGCGGACACTTTGTCCTCAGTCCTTTTTTAACATGTGACCTTCACGGCGTTCTTTGTTGCTAAGATGCTGTTGGCTGCACAATGTTATTGGTTGGTAGGACGCTGTCAGTTGTCCCGAGGCTTTTAATGAATTAAGCACAGGACTTTTTAAAGGGACCAAGAAAGTGTTGCAAATGCTTTAGCCACTTCAGGACCGCCATTTGTATATATACATCAGGGATGTTTATAAAGGAAAGGATTCGTAGATATACATCAGGGGTCTTTATAAAGGAAAGGATTTGTATATATACATCAGGGGTCTTTATAAAGGAAAGGATTTGTATATATACATCAGGGGTCTTTATAAAGGAAAGGATTTGTATATATACATCAGGGGTCTTTATAAAGGAAAGGATTCGTATATATACACATCAGGGGTCTTTTGCAAAGGAAAGGATTCGTATATATACATCAGGGGTCTTCATAAAGGAAATGATTCCTAGATATACATCAGGGGTCTTCATAAAGGAAA